AAACCCTAATTTGGGGTAAACTGCCTTAGGAGAGAGCTTGTCTGACCAACTTTGAGCAACCTTGAGCAATTTGGAGATTTTTCTTGCAATGTTTTGAGAAATATAGGAGGGAAAATCTTGGGGTACAACAGGAGAGCATTGAAGTCTAAGAAGTTCACTTCTCATTTTATTGGTCCGTATCAGATTTTGGAAAGATTTTGGAGTGTCGCTTATAGAGTGGCTTTACCGCCTAATATTTCAAATTTGGTTGATGTGTTTCATGTGTCACAACTTCGGAAGTATATTTCAGATCCATCTCATGTGATTCATATGGGTGATGTGCAAATACAAGATAATCTTACTATGGAGATGATGCCTGTATGAATCGCGGATCGTGAAATGAAGACTCTAAGAGGTAAGGAGATTGCTTTGGTGAAGGTAGTCTGGCTAGGAGCTGCTGGAGAAAGCACGACGTGGGAGTTGGAAAGCAAGATGCGGGACTGCTATCCTGAGTTGTTCGAATGAGGTGAATTTTCAAGGACGAAAATATTCTAAGTGGGGGAGAGTTGCAACGCTCGTAATTTAATTTAATTAAATTATTTTTGGATTATTTGTCGAAGTTGCGAGGTGATGAGAATTATTGGTATAAGTTGTTGGATTATTATTAATTAATTAATTAGTTAATTAATAATAATTATAATGTTGGAATTAAAGGAATATATATATATATATATATATATATATATATATATATATATATATATATATATATATATATATATATATATATATATATATATATATATATATATATATATATATATATATATATATATATATATATATATATATATATATATATATATATATATATATATATATATATATATATATATATATATATATATATATATATATATATATATATATATATATATATATATATATATATATATATATATATAGTGTTGGACTTATGTTATTGGTTGGAAGTAGTAAAGTGAGGGTGTAGGTTAGGCCCAATAGAATTGATATATAAGGTTAAGCTGACACAAGAATTTGTCTTAGTTGGAGAATAAGAAGTTCTGTATGTTGACCGGTAGAGCTGAGCGGAAGAGGAGCAAGCTGCCCGGTGTCGAGCAGAGCGAAGCAAGCTGTCGGCTGGAAGCTTTGGTTGAGCAACCTTCAATCCAGGTAATGGTGGAGTTCTGACCTTATAATGGGACTTATGATGTGTATTACGTGGGAATTGGTCGTTTTATGATTGTTGTGCGTTGTTGTTTCTGATCTGCTAGTGAAGTTGTCCGTTTATTCATGTTGTAGCCGTTGGGGAGTACTGTATGACCATTTAATGAACATGTTATATGAAGTTTTCCAGTTGTGTGTTGTGGACATTTTATGTATCTGTGTGACTATAGGTTTAATCGATGGATATGTTATGATAGTGATTACTGGTCATGATGGTTGTTAGGATGTTAGGTTATTCCGAGCGGTTGGTGGGAAAAGTAGTAAATTATTGAAGTGGTCATTTTAGGGAGGTTTCAGCGTGACTTTCTTGTATGTTTGATGAACATGTTATAGGAAATATAATTCCCCGTTGTTGTGTTATTCCGAGTGGTTGGCCGAAAGTTATAAATTGTAGTGGTGTGGTCGTTAAGACATTGTATTGTGTCTATGTTGTTGGCCGAACTAGTGGTCGAGGAGGATGCTGGTGATGTTAGGTACCGAGAGGCATTTAGGCTGTGAGGCGTGTCAGGGGTTATATTTTGGATTGTCGAGCAGTACAAGGCTGCAGGACATGTCGAGAAGCATGAGTTGGTCATTATCCTGGTTTCCCCTGTGCGTGTCGAGGAGTATGGATTAGTTGTTAGGCTGCCCTAGTTGCTATGCATGTCGAGGGGCACGTAGTTCCTTATCCCTTTTGCCCGTACATGTTGTGTTTTGGTCGTTACCCGTGCTGTGTGAATTATTGTTAAGTTGCTATTTGATTATGTTAATGATTGACGTTGATTGATGTGATAGGCTTGTGGCCCATGTCGTTTTAGGTTGAGTTGTTGTGTTGTGGTGATTGCTGTTGTGAATTCTTGTTGATAATGCGAAGTTGCAAGGAATTTTAAATGATGATGAATTGCCTCTATTTACTGGTAATAATGGTGATGTGGGCTTATGCCTTGTGATGGATGATGACTGTTGTGAGTATGTGATAGTACATTTATATACATTTGCATACTCTGTGATGTCCTGGATTGGCAAACTGCAAAGAAGGCTTATGCCTTGTTGATGCCTCTATTTATTGGCAAATTTTAAGATGGGAGTTCTGCTCCAATAGTACAACATGTATTTTCATAGTATTTAGTCACATTCCAAGTTGTATAATTAAGCTGTTATGTTGAAGAATTAATTGTTGTATTTTGTTGATATCCTGTTGTGATTGTTGTTGTTTATAAGTCGTGAAATAGTGATTTTGCATGAACTGATTCTAATATAATATTTATTATACGTTCTATTATAATGTTCGATATCTCACCCCTTCTGTTTTAATGTTACCTCGATGTTGGTAACGTGCAGGTAATCCAGAGTGAAGGCGGTTTACCTTCAGTAGTTCGAGTTGGTGTCATTGCTCTGATATGTAACACTCGGGGGGATGAACGCTTGTTTCTTTTAGTTACTGTTATTTCAGTTGTTAAACTTTAAGTTGATTGTTGTTAAGTACTTGTTATTTTGAAGTTGCTTTAATGATGGACAAAGATATTATTATGATTCCGCTGAATAGTTGTTGGTTTAAAAGATTAATTATTTTGCTGTTGGTTCATCCGAAGTTTTAAAGTGTTATGTATCCATGTTGAATGCAATGGTTTTTAAGTTGAATTTGTAGCATCCTGATTTGACTGTGAATTATGTAACTCTGATTATTATAATTATCGATTGGGGTAGAATTGGGTTGTTACAAACACGCTTTGACCCCCTTCACTGCCAGGGGCCGTCTGCTCTACCTCGACAACCGCGGGTTATCCCGACACCTCAATAACCACTTCAACAGTCCCCGACATACTCCCCTTCATGGAAGAGTACACCGAGGAACTCTGGCCGAAGCTGTTGGGCTTGCCCTGAAAATCTTCTTCGACGTTAGCCATTGTACCTGAAAAACTGAGGACAAAGGTGAGCTCGACATGATCGTCAAATCCATCCTTCCACCCCTAATCAAGTGAAAGGGCATAAAGGAACGAGGACCCTATCCATGATCAGAGCCCTCACTCAACGACAAGAAATAGCCTAGCTAATGAGTCAAAATCTTTGAGCAACATCTCCCTGACTTTGGGTTGGAGCCACACATGAAAAAGCGTCCATAAGCGTATTCAGAGACAATGCGAAAAGTCCAGAGACAATGGCTCAACTTGGCCAGGATATTCATACAAGCCCTACATCGCGGCCATAGCCCTTGAACCTAATGGGTGATCTCACAACGCAAAACAGTGTCAGAAACTGGAAAAACCATTGTCAACCACTAACAATCCAACATGAATTCTCTTCCCTAAGCCCTAAATCGCATGCATTTCTAGGGAGGTACGAAAAACCTAACCTAGAAACATATATTGAGTAAGGTAAATGAAGGAACTCACTAGGATGAAAAGAGTGACGATGGAGAAGCTGGAGGTCTACGACGGAGAACGGTGGAAACTCCTTCGAAATCTGCAGAAATAGTGTTGAGCAGGAGCTAGCTTTGTCGAGCAGAGTGATATCAAGCGAAAAGTGTGAATGAAGTTGTTTCTCCTCTTTTTATAGAGTTCCCATAAGCACGTGAGCGAGTACGCACCTAGGGGACTTATGGGTCTTCATCATTATACCCTAGTCACTAGGTTTGCCATCATTAAAACGCATGGCTTGAGGCACGAGTGGCAAAAACACTCTAAATTCCACCATTTTGTATTTCAACCAACGGTCATCTCCCTGCGAGACAGACACAACGAGTAACACTCTCCCTCCTCGAAAGAATAGCTCCCGAACGACTCCACGAGCATATGTCATCGCCTCTTTGCCCAGAAGAAACCACTTGGGGGCTGCTGTTATGGAATGGCCCAATGGCTGAATGGGCCCAATCCACGTCTACTTCCAAAATGGCCCAAGTGACCTTGGCCTAATAAGCTCTAGCTCAGAATCTGGAAAAGACGGTCGAATGCCTCCAGGAGCATTCACATCATAACAGCCATAAACAAGACTTCTGCCATCGACGTCATCCTCGTTCCGTCTGCTCGACGCAAGTCGAGCAGGCAACCAAGATTCGCCTCAAATACATCTGTCTATTAACCCCCTCTTGTCCGACACAACGACTAGTTACGGGCACGACTGCTCGTTTTGACATAGTCCTGGTATTTACCTATTTTTGCGGACCCAAATATCTAGGTCTAAAAATAGGAACCAATTGCTACGAGTCGGGGAAAAACTATATAAACCCTCACATTTGTGAGGGTTAGATATCCACTATTCACTCTAGAAACCCTAATATTTTCTTGTACCTGTCTGTGCTCTTTCTTGTTTTAGCATCAGAGTGTCTTGCATGTACACAGCCCCTCCTCTCCATCAATTCCAGCTCGACGGATCATCATCTTTCCAACCCATCTCAGATTCTAATCAGCAGATCAGTCTTGCACTATCATCCAATAAAATTGCATCATTTAATTTTATTATATAATTTATTTAAAAATTTCAATATCATTTAACACTTAATATAGTTGTTTGTTGTGCGTGTAAAATTATTTCATAGCATATATTTTTTTCATAATAAAAATAAAGTGCAAAATTTTATTATCAATAGTAAATAAAATAAACTAAGCAGTTGGAGAATTTAAATATTTAAATTACAAGAATATAGAGTGTTGCTGTGTGGTCGGCAGCACATAGAATAGTGTTGTTGTGTGGTCACCAGCACAGCACAGCACAACACTGAAATGAATTGAGACAGAGAGCAGTCAAACTCCTTTCCTTATCTAAATTCAAAAAACAGTGGCGGGTATACCACAACAATGGAGGAAGAAAACCAGCATCACCACCACCAACTCGACGACAACGACGACAACGATTGGCGCCTCTACGAAGCCTACAACGAACTCCACGCGCTCGCTCAAGAGCTTCACACTCCCTTCGACGCGCCCGCCGTACTCGTCGTCGGCCACCAAACAGACGGTAAGAGCGCCCTCGTGGAAGCCCTAATGGGCTTCCAGTTCAACCACGTCGGCGGTGGCACCAAAACCCGCCGCCCCATCACCCTCCACATGAAATACGGCCCACATTGCGAATCCCCGTCCTGTCATCTCCTCTCCGATGACGACCCCTCTCTTTCTCACCAAATGTCCCTCCCCCAAATCCAGGTCCGTTTTTTTTCTTCCCTTTTTCAATTTATTAGTTGTAACTAACTAACTAACTAATAACTAATTAATTAATTAACTAACTAATTCATTAATTAATGAACTAAACAGGCTTATATTGAAGCGGAAAACGCGAGATTGGAACGTGACTCGTGTAATCAATTTTCATCTAAGGAAATAATCATAAAAGTTGAATACAAATACTGTCCTAATCTCACCATAATAGACACACCAGGGTTAATTGCTCCTGCACCAGGTAGAAAAAATAGGGCGTTACAGGTACAGGCACGTGCGGTGGAGTCGCTCGTGCGAGCCAAAATGCAGCACAGGGAGTTTATTATACTCTGTCTTGAGGATTGTAGTGATTGGAGTAACGCGACCACGAGGCGCGTTGTGATGCAGATTGATCCGGAGTTGTCGAGGACTGTGATTGTTTCGACGAAGTTGGATACTAGGATACCGCAATTTGCGCGTCCTTCTGATGTTGAGGTTTTTTTATCGCCGCCCACGTCTACGCTTGATGGTTGCATTCTTGGTGATTCGCCGTTTTTTACTTCGGTGCCTTCGGGGAGAGTTGGTTCGGGAAGTCATTGTTTGTACTCCTCCAATGATGATTTCAAACAGGTTCAGTACTTGGTTAAGCCTTTTCATTTCATTTCAGCTTCATGCTTAGATGGTAAAGTAAATTATTCTATGGTTAAAGTAATACACGTTGTTGAGGCATTGGTTACTTGTGATTTAAGTCATTTAACATTTTGCAGGCTGTAAGCTTTAGAGAGATAGAAGATGTTGCGTCCTTGGAGGAGAAATTGGGAAGGCCATTGTCAAAGCAAGAAAGAAGTAGGATAGGTGTGAGCAAACTTAGGCTGTTTCTGGAAGAAATACTACAAAAGAGGTTTATTTGCGATAGAATTAGTCGTTGCTGACTTGTTGTTTCCAGACAATAATTAGAAAATCCATCTTTTTTTTTTATGTATATTCTAAGTTAAAATCCTGAGAATGAACTTGCTAGGTACATAAATAACGTACCGTTGATCATTCCACTTCTTGAGAAGGAGCATCGGAGTGTGACAAGGAAATTGAGTGATATAAAACAAGAGTTGAGGTTTGTATTAAAGTTTAAAATATGTTTATTGTACGCGACCTTCATAGGAAGGTGCGGGGGTGATAATTTTATATACCAGTTTTATTGTTTTTTTATATGTATTTGTTTCATCACTTGTATATTTTTCTTCAAATTATATACAGCACACTGGATGAAGCCAAGCTGAAGGAGAAAGGAAGAGCTTTTCATGATATGTTCTTGACTAAGGTTTTAGTTTCACAAATTCAATTTTCTTCTCAATATCTGATCATGCTTTATCGGATGACTTTCTTCTGTTGATGGATATTAGAACTCCTACCAAGGGAAAGGGAAGGGTTATTTAATACGAATGTTAAACTTGTGGAGTAAGTTTATTTGTCTGTCGTATATTCTATATGAGATTGAATATGCATGCTTTTATTTAAGTCCTTTCAGCTGTTAGAACCCATAGTTCCCTAAACCTTGAAGATGTACTTTATTCTATTTTCACCTCCCGACTCACATATTTTCCACCATTCAGCTGTCATTGCTGCTTAAAGGGACAGTTGTTGCGCCGCCCGATAAGTTTGGTAAATTTCCTAAGCTCCCTTTTATGGACAAGCCTAATGAATAGTAGATAATGGTTAATGAAAAAAAGAAAGCTCAATGTCTTTGGAGATCTCGTTTCTCTTGGTAAACAGTTATTGTTATATTCCTTAATGTTCTTTTTATTTTGTTTCAGGTGAAACACTACCAGATGAGCGAATAAATGGAGGTGCATTTGTTGGTGCTGACGGTGTTCAATTCCCTCACAAGTTAATACCTGTAGGTTATACGATTGTTAGGGGCTAGCTTTTCTCATTACTTATGTTCCACTTATTTTCTTTACTATCTTCTCTTTTAAATTTTTTATTATAAAGTTACCGTTTTATTTTTCTTCTTTTTGGTTGATAGATTCAGTTAACTTATGCCTGAAACTACCACTTCATACGAGTTTTTATATTTGTGCTGTGACCATTCCGCAAAAACTTTTGAAATATTTTCAGAATCTCGTTAAGCAAACATTTGATAGTCTGTATTATCCTTCTCTGTAGAATGCAGGGATGCGTCTTTATGGTGGTGCACAATATCACCGGGCAATGGCTGAGTTTCGATTTGTAGTTGGAGGAATCAAGTGTCCTCCAATCACTCGGGAAGAAATTGTAAATGCTTGTGGAGTTGAAGACATTCATGACGGGACAAACTACTCTAGGTATTCTGTGTTTTACTTATTCATTCTTGTAATATTACTAATGATAAAATAATTTTTACTTTGACCAATCAGGACTGCTTGTGTAATTGCTGTTGCAAAAGCTCACGACACATTTGAACCTTTTCTTCATCAGGTGATTAATACCATAGAAGTGAAAATAGCTTCCTTTCGCCCTTTATTTCTTATAATTTGTCAGGATTACAAGTCAACTTACAACAATATGTTAGAATACAGAACCAAGGTTTAATGTTTTGCTTCCCTAACTAATATATTTTTTGTTTTTGATACAGTTGGGTTCTAGATTATTGCATATACTTAAGAGATTGCTCCCAATCTCTTTTTATCTTCTTCAGGTACTCTCTATATAATCTTGTGGGATATAAATTTATTTTTGAGTTTTCATCCTATAGCTTAAGATTTTGAGATAAATGGTTCTTGACGTGTATCCAGAGCCTTTATGAACAACTGGTGTAGAGTTTAATTCTTGGCAGTTGCCAATCTACCCTTCATGCAATTATTTGTCTATTTTCCTAACTTACTGTAATTATGCATTTTGTTCTGACAGAAAGATTGTGAGTATCTAAGTGGCCATCAGGTGTTCCTCAGGCGTGTTGCCTCTGCCTTCGACAACTTTGCAGAATCTACTGAAAAATCATGCCGTGAAAAGTTAACCATCATTTGCCATCTATCGCATATTTTCTTTCCACATATCGAAAAAACCACGGGCCTTTTTTTAAAAACAAAATTCTGCTTTGCTGCAGATGTATGGAGGATTTGGTAAGCACCACGCGATATGTCTCATGGTCTCTACACAACAAGGTAAGCTTTGAAATGTTGCATTTTAAATGATCTCACTTCCTAATTTGAATTTGAACTAGACTTGTATGAGCATCTGGTTACACTATAAGAACCTATGAATAAAATGTTATTTACAAGCTGGTTTTCTTGCTTATTTTTTATATTATTATATTAATGTTGGCACTGTCAATTTTTTAGAGTCGAGCTGGATTACGCCAGTTCTTAGATTCATTTGGTGGAACAGAACATTCTAATGATCCTACTGCAACTGTTCTATCACAAACAAATACGCCAGATAAGGAAGACACGAAGCCACAACTAGAAGTAAAGCTCAGTCATGTGGCTTCTGGAACTGATTCTAGCACATCCAGCCAGACAGCTGAAACAAAGCTTGCTGACCTTCTCGATAGTACACTTTGGAATCGGAGGCTTGCTCCGTCATCCGAAAGGATTGTTTATGGTTTGGTACAGCAAATATTTCACGGCATACGGGAATATTTCTTGGTTTCCACAGAATTAAAGGTTTGTAATGTTTCTTGTTTGTTTCCGCTTTATTTTCGTTTGTATCTTTTACGCATTACTTGTACCTAGTCTTATACCTAATATTTTGCAGTTCAACTGTTTTCTTTTGATGCCTATTGTGGACAAGTTGCCTGCACGGCTTCGGGAAGACCTAGAATCTGCTTTTGAAGATGACCTGGAAAATGTTTTTGACATAACCAATCTGCAGCTTTCATTGGGACAACAGAAGAAAGATATAGAAATTGAACAGAAAAGGGTAATTGCATAATTTATATAACATAGCTTCCCTTATGAACAATTTCTGAAGATGACAACTTTCTCTTGTTTTCCATGGTGTCTAACTCTTTGGTGGTTTTGCAGATCAACAGGCTCAAAGATAAATTCAGAATGATACACGAGCAGCTAATTCAACGGCAAGTCGTGTGAATATGAGCACTGTCAGATCTTATGAGTGTAATATTAGATTTGACTTGGAAATTTATAAGATGTGTGATTTTTCATTTCTGTCCTAATTTAGTGCTTTATCTACAGTGTATGATAGAAAGATTAATAGATGTTCATTATTGCCGCAGTTACTCTATGACTATGAGTCTTTCTTCTTTTTTCTCCATAAGCAAGCTTTGTCTCTGTTCCTCTGTTCAAAGTTACAACATGATCCTGTTGCTGTTTGTGTGACCTATAATCACATGACATTGGTAGCGATGATGTTTTATTGCGCCATTGATCGACTTTGAATAACTTTTTTTTATGTAAAATTATAAAGAATGAATTAAGTATAGAAATTTTGAGGAATCAATAAATAATAATGTCCAAAACAAAATTTGAGCCGTACTTTAGTTATTTTAAAAAGGTATTCATATCGAGTATTTGATATGCATCAGTACCTATGCAATGTGTTATAGGAACTACCATACCTCCCAATATATCTATATAACAAAATAAAATGAAATTTAATATAAAATCAATTAAGAAGAAAAAAAGATAACAATTCAAATAAATTTATTAATCAAGCATGTACCTATATAAATAAATGTGAGGAAGTCCATGCAAGTTCTAACATAAGAGAGTGCCAACAACCTAGCCATAACTCCTTCCCACTAGCACAAACCAATCCTCCTTTGTGCTCACCATGAACAACCATCTTATTGATTCTTCAATCTTGCTCGAACTGTCTTTGCCATTCTTATAATTGTTTCTTCTTTCAATTCTAACCTCAACAAGTTTGGTGGTTCGCTAAATTTTACACAATAAAGTAAATAATGATATGATACTAATACTCATGATTACCTTTAATCAGTAAGGAAAAGGAGGAACTGTGAATTATGCAGAAACAAAAAAAATCAAATTTCTAGCTACAAAATTATGCAAATAAATGTAATTTTATAACCAACATCAGCATCCTAATTCAAGTATAGTATTATCATGCTAAATCAATAAATATATTATTGTGTTTACAAATTTCAAAATGGGGATGTAGCTCAAATGGTAGAGCGCCCGCTTTGCATGCGGGAGGTACAGGGTTCGATCCCCTGCATCTCCAGAATTATTATTTTTTGCTCTAAAGTGAAGTTTTTGCTGCCGAAATCCACAGATCAATATCATTGGACCAAAATAAGATAGCCATAAGTCCTTTTCTACATCTTAGACTACAATGACAATAAGTTCATTGTTCTCAAGAGAGACCAGTATCTCAAATGTTTTGTGCTGGGTTTAAACATCATTAAGCCACTAATTTTGAGAGAGAAAAACCAAACAAAGGTAACAGAAGTCAGAATTGTTTAATTAACTATACACTACATATAGAGATAGTAGCCATTGATATTGTCGTATTTGGATCTTGCGTTGTTTGAAAGTAATTAGTTAGTGTTCTTCTCGAGAGTGAAAGATGAAAAAAAAAAAAAGAGTGTAACTTAGTTGGTAAAATAGGCGCTCTATAACTTTGAGGGGTGGGTTCAAAGAATGTCATTTTTCATATATTATGATGGTTGAAATCGCCATTAAAACTCAAATTTTAAAACAAAAGACTAAAACTTGAAGAAAAAAAAAGGGGTTAGAAGTTGCAATTAGAGATGTAAATGACTATATGTGAGCATGAATATTATATATATAAATATCCGTGTAGATATTCGCTAAATCGATAATTTGTAGATTTTAAGATATCCAATAGATATTTACAAATATCAATGGATAATTTTTTTTTTACAATTATGTTTAGATTTTTTTTTACACGAATGTTATTATCACATAGCATTTCTACGATTAGCTTTAAATTTATCAACAAAATTTCATCACATTAATTTCTTTCTTTTTCACCAAAATATAATAACATGCAAATATAATATTTATATATTTTATTTTTAACCAAAATAAATAAAAGATATTATGATTGTGACTTATGGTGGAGGGTTTACAGTTTAGGGATATAGAAGTGAGATATGAAGTATTTGTGAAGCTTAAATAGTAAATGACCAAATATAATTTGTATAGAACGCGAAAGGTTTTTTTCAAAGAAAATTAAAAAAAAAAACAAGAAGGGTAATTTTTTATATTTTATTAACGGATACAAATATCTGTGGATACATGTATCATTAAATCTGTATTTGTTTTCATTAATAAATATGTATGTAAATATCTATTTATTTTATCTGTGGATATTCATTAAGTTACCCGTCCCATATCCATGACATATTTTATCGGCTGATATTCACATATACATTTTTTTTTGTCATCCATAGTTTCAATTAAGTCACTCTTACCTCACAGATTTATATCTATGGTTGAAGAGTAATTATAGAGCATTGAAGTTGTTGTTGAAATTAATTCAATAATTAATTAATGCAAGATATGTTTTCTATATAACGGTTAATACTATAATCATACTTTATTTTAAAAGTCAAACAAATAAGTATGCATATAAATTAGGATTATACCAATACTTGAACAGATGTAAAGACAACTGTCTAGGCAGTGACAACAATAATTTCAAAGAATCATTATCTCAGGATCATTATTCAACATGTTTCGTTAGGCACATGATATAAATATTTTTGTAAAGTGTTTTCAGGTACACAATCTCGAATCCCCACTTTCACTATTACAACCTTGAACTCTAAACTAGTTTTGGCGTTGGATTGCTAACCATGCATATATTCCCCAGGTCCTCCAAATTGAAGAAAATAAACACTGACATTGTATCAAGATAAATACCTTTGATTCAAGAAGTATCATAATCGGGACCTTTGATCCACAATGTCATATCTTCATAGTGCTCTGGAAACTTTGCTCCAACATAGTTTTTGTAATCCTTTCCATTTTTGGTTCAACAACGGAACATTGGTGTCGTTTGTGGGAATCAACTTTCATTTCCTATGATTTCCATAATTTCACGCTCGTTCCTCAAATTTGAACTCCAAAATCATCTCAGGAGAGGATATTGAAGTCTCAAGAAGCCAAAATCTCAGATCTACGTCGTTCAGATCCCTGAACTCTGATTGAGCGGTTGTATCGATCTTGAGCCGTCAGGACATAACACCAGCAAACACCCTGGGGTTGAAATCCATTCATGCGACATTCTGGTTGATTGAAGGTGTCAGCCTCAAATACTTCGAAAAGTTGGTCATTGAACACCCTTAGATCAAAGTTAAGTTTCATAAGACCGAGTAGGATCCGCCTTCGTTGGATGAACCTTGTCAAATCCGAGAAAAAGTTTACCAAAGAACCAGTCAAGAGCATAAGAAATCACTTCCAAGAGATATTATGACAACACAAATACTATATTGGCCTATCACCACTAGATGTTCCATCATCATAAAAATATCACGCTAGATGTCTCATCATCGTAACGACAAGAGCCCGGTCCTGAATCATCAACCAGGCTCAGGGACTGCAAAATGATAAGGGGGTTATGAGATGATAGACATACCCCAACATGGGGTAACTCGGGGGACGAGATGGTCGATCGAAGAAGCTCATACCGACGAAGTAAGCAAGGGTTATATTACTCTCCACCAATAAGAGAACTTCCTAATACCCATACCTTAGTCCAAAAAGAAGGTTAGGTGAACAAACGAGGTGTAAAGAGATAAGAAGGACAAGTTGCGCCTAGCAGAACACGTCGAGCATCCTGCACGCTACCAATGCTGACCATAATCCCTTCAATCTCGTATGCATAAGCATCCCAGATGTATAGAAGCGTCCACAAGTTAAAATGTGCATTACCTTAACCCCAAAAACAAGAGCCAAACACACACAATATAGGTTGGTGCGTCCCAAGACGAAGGCTCGGTCCTCCTGGTCAATCAACCATGAAGCCACCCAAATAACACATCTGAGGTCGAGCGCTCGGTATATACTTACGGTCAACCGTAATATTTAATTAATATATTTGTAAACTAATTATATAATAGTGAATGCAAGTAGCAACAATTGGGGAACAACCAATACAATTGATATTCGACATAAAGATTATAGGGTGTTGTCGGAGACATATTGCATGTCTGACTACAACAATCAATACCCCCTGCTTGATAATTTGTCTACGTGAAGATTCAGAGGTGCGGTCGGAAACATTTTGTACGCTCGACTATAACATTCAATTCCCACAACTCCGACTGTAAAATTCATTTCCCCACAACGCCTTGCACGTCTTTAGAATTCAGGGATGGATTTGAAAGTGCTTTGTACGCCTGACTACAATAATCAATTCCCTACAACGCCTTGTGCATCTTCAAAATCCAATGGAGTTGTCAAAGAAGCTTTGAGCTCCCAATTATATTAACCAATTCCTTCAGGGGTGCTATCAGAGATGCTTTGCACATCCAAATACAACATTTCAAATACCCTATGTAAAAAAAATACACACTTTTACGTGTAACTAGCGCATCCCCTCTGGATCTATCCAACCCAAGGGCGAGCAGGGTGAAGCCTAAAGACGTCTTCTTCGAACCAAGCTATTGCCTTGGGGAAAGAGACGAGGATCCTCTACCCTTGACCAAAAATGATCATTTGTGATGTATATCATAGTTTAAAGCATGGCCTCATATAGCTGGATTCGTGCCCTCGCTTGTAAGTATAATTTAAAACATAACCACAATTAACAAGACTCATGCCTTATCCATATAACTGTGATTAAGGCATAGTCGCGTCTAGCTGGTTTAACATGAAATACTTACAAGTACAATTATTAGCATAGATGCCCAGAGCTGAACTCATGTCTCACTAGTTTTGATCCGACATACAGACCCATCAAACCCTAACAATGTTTCCCATGTGCAATCATATTTTGAATACAGTTACGTGTTACTACCTTGACATTTCATCAAGGCAATGCATACATCTTAATGCAACAGACTTTCAAGAGAAACAAACATAGAGATTTCACAACCTAAAAAATAAGTCTGATCTCTCCTCAAATCCTAATTCTCCTC